ACTGTCCCTAACTCTTTTATCTCTTTTTTTTTACTCCTCTTCCTGCTTCCTAAAAACAATTTCAACAGGGCTCATTGTTCTCTTTTCATACATGCAAGTAAGCTACTTAAAGAATTACCTTTAAGTTTACAGAGGCATTCCCACGTAGCAACATGCTTTATGACTATAATATCTCTCGATCAATGTGACCCCTTTCAGCATTCCTATCCATCCCTTCCCACCCCTAACCCCCTTCCCTCATTGTAGGACGTACACTGGATTCTTCACTGCTTTCTCCCCCTCTTCTCCTGTTCATTTGTTTCTTCTTGGTGCCACCCTCCCCCTTTGGAGTACCTGCTTCCTGATAGTTGATTTTTGTTGAACTTCAGGGAGGCTACTTATTAGTTGGTAAGGAGCACTTCCTGTAGGAGCCTGTTGAGTGCCACAGAGAGGCTTCTGTGTTGGGCTTGAGGAAATTTATCAGGCTCAATGACAGACCCTCCAGATGAGGAAGAAAGAGATTGACTTTCTTAATAGAAATAGAGAAGCAAGAGCTGGGAAAGTTGAAGAAGACGTTAGAGAATTCAGGAATCAAACGTAGTAAAACTCTTTGTGAAAATGTCGGTGATTCACTCATGGCCTTTCATATCATGAGAACTGACAATTGAGTTATAAAATTAAGTACTGTTTGTGATACTACCTTCAGCAGCTTGTCCTCCAGGACATCAAGCCACATAGCATAATAAACTCCTATGGTATGAGGAACATATTACGTTGGGATTCTAGCCAGGTCCAAATGAATGAACGTCGCATTTTAGTGTATTCACAAGACTCTGATCTAGATTCACTTGATAGTCCCCATCTTACTGGTAGAAAGTTTGTTTTCTGGTTGAGTTAATTAATGAGTGCTTCAAATACACAAATCTAATCTATATTTACTCAATGGTTTTAGAAAAGGCTGAGTGGTAACTTCATGTACAGCTGGAAGTATACCAATATAAGTTTGAAAACTTTAAAATGGGATTGTATATTAGAATGACATACTTTTTCCTTTTCTGTTCTTCTTAATTTTGATTATTGTTATGGGAGGATTTCATTTTCATTGCATCCAATAGTGTAATTACCCTTTAAAGAAATTTGTGTAGTCTGAGGAGAGTTAATAAAAATAATTATCAGAGTGGTAAATACAAAATGAAATATTTCCAACACAGAGCTTGACAGTAACTACTCAGTAATAAAATAAAATTAGTTCCTATTCTCTCTATCTGTAACTTCTGTGTTAATTACTTTTAAATTAATGTCTATGGGGAAGATTGTTTTGGCTTGGAAATGAGCAACACTTCTCATAATCTGATCCAGGGCCAATATCTTCAATTTCACAAGTATGTATTAATCTTCTTTTGTGATAATAAGATATATGGCAAATTAAATGTCACAGTCATTGCCCTTGTGGAGTTCTATTTTCTTCCCCAGGCAAAATAGAGATATAGAGAAATTTGTCTTGACATTCCCCTCACTCCTTTGTGTTTTCTTTTGTTCATCTGCACCGATTCCTTGGGAATTTGTAAGCGTGTCTACACTCAAGACAGGCCCAGTTATCAATCCAGTTATAAGGGGTCGTAGTCTTTGAGTTAAGACTGCTTTTAATTACAAGTAATAATGTTTTTGGCCAACAGCAGCTTTAGACAGTAGGTGTTTGCTAAGGTGTACCATGTGTTCAGAGGTGGGCAGCTGCTGACCGTGCTTTAGGGGCTCTTCCTTCCTAGCTGGGCAACAGCAGGTGGCCTTCTGTTGTAAAGGCAGATGAATGTGGGGTAGGAAAAATCTCAGTAGCTATTACCTTTATGATAGCATCATCATCATCATCATCATCATCAACAGCAACAACAAAAACAAATTACTCACAGCTCCACTAGAATGTCCCTAAAGAGACCTCTTCTGCTTCCTTATCATTGTCTTAGACTGGGCCACATCATCCACCTGAGGGCAAATGAAGGTGTGAACATGAGGTTGCAGTTGAGGTGGGAGTGGAGAAGGGCACCAGTGCCAGGAGAATATTGTTTGTCATGCTGAAAAGCCTAGCTAGGACCAAAGACTCATGGGACCAGGATGAAGAAAGAAGTGATATGTGGCAGAAGCTGTAGAACCATTCACCAAGCTTGTTTCTCCCCTGTCTATCCATACCCCAAATGCCTGGGCCCCAGTAACTCATGTTGCTCATGGGGCTGCCCTTTATGTTGTTTTTCCCTTCTTTATTTTATTTGGTTCTCACAGATCATGTAATAGAAGAGAAAAATTATTGACAAATCAACCTATATAGCCTCATTTCCTTACCAAATGTTCTCATATTTCCATTTGCATGAATTTAAGTTTGAAGATAAGTGAAATGCCAGTTTATTTTCTCAGGTAATATTCTTTTTCCTTCACTGTCATTCTGTGATTAATCAATGTGTGCATTTTCTTCACTGCTTCCTTTAGAGGACTGGAATTAATGATACAGCTTAGCACCTTTATAATGTGCCTAGTTCTACTAGACATAAAAATGCCATTATGTCTACAGTAGCAAAAGGAAAGAATCATGTTTATTTTTTAGAGCTGTTCTTTTTGAACTCCTGGTTTAAGGAAACTGCACCCATGATAACTTATGACTTCATTCATCTCTTGTGACTCCTAAAACTGCCGGTGGGTCAACAGTCAAATTATTTATGTATTAAACATCCTGCAATACTATTTTTGATTCTAAATAATGATGCTTTTTTATAACACACATAAATATCCAATATCTATTTATATATATATATATATATATATATATATATATATATATATATTTATTCCCAGAAAGGACAATCGCCATTTCTCAGAACTGGCCTTCCTCACTAATCTTTGTAACACTGATCAGGCTTTTAAATGCAAGATCTAGCACATTGGTAGAAGCCAACAACACAGAACTTTAGATAAAGAAGAACATTCACTGAATGCCCTCAAGAAAAATTTTGAAATGCATGTATATCATATAGTTTTAGTCAATATATATACCAATTCTTATCATTAGATTAAATATAATTTCAGTTTCTGACAAAAGTTGCAAATATAATTTTGTAAATTCTGTAAGTTAAAATTAAACTCTTACTTAAAGTACATCCCAAAGAATCTGTATAACTCATCCAAGACAACTACTATTTTTAAAGAATAGAAGTTTTATCTTCCTATTTGGGGATTTCACAATGTCTTTCTTTCTAGTTGAATTCATATTTATATCTCCTCTTCCATTTCAAAATGTTATTCTACTGTAATGTAGTCATGAAGAATTTGACATTTTGTGAAGAATACATGTTAAACATAGTGATCAACATAGAGAATATAGAACTACACTTTCTGAGCTCAAATTTTGCCACATGGAAGTGGTTTTACTTTCCTGTAAATTTTCTCACTTGTAAAAGGGGGTAACAGTACATACAGTTATTGTGGGGCTAAATGAGTTCATATATGATTTAGAATAAAGCTGGGAACTTTGTAAGCATGATGTGACAGCTTTCTGTTATTGTTAGGCTGGAACAGATTAAACATTTTTTATTATTATAAAAGTGATGTATGGAGGGGTTGCAGTTACGTAAGTCAGGTGAAGAGTACATTTCTTTTGGCCATGTGGAGACAGATTTTTAACAAAGTATAGTAACTGCTGATAAGCCTTGTTTACATAAAGAGGCAGATGATAAAGGGGAGACTTTTGGTATGTATTGTTCCTTTGAACTCTTTCCAAGTTACTGACCAAAAAAAAACATATCTCATAGTGGCCTATCATCAAAAGAGATTTTGAATGCAAGGCTTATAGCGACCTGATGGAAACATTGCTCAGTTTTGTTGAAAACAACTAATTGAAAATACGGATCTTTCAAAACATTTCTGTAACTGAAGGCATTTACCATTTCAGCTTCTGGGAAGTTGGCTATCAGAGGATTTACTAGTCTTATTAAATAGCTCTTTGAGTCCCTTACTCAGCCTTTAGAGTCTCCAAATTTAATTTAGTATTCTCCGAAAGGATTCAAAAGAGAAGAAATACTGGATAAATTTCCTGGCTATAGCTTGGATAATAGAATCTTCCATCAGTCTGATTAGGATATAATTTACATAGAAGAACCACTCATTTTAAAGGTAGGGCTGTGTGAATGTTGACAAAGAAGCAGAGCTCTGCAGCCACACACAGTCGGGGTGGAAAACGTGTGCCCCATGGTGCTGCTTGGCTTCCTTGCCCTCAGCCCCTCCCGGAGTCCTGGCCCCTGAGGAGTTTTTGATTGCTCCGTGTGAGGTAATACGACTAACCACTTGGGTCATACAGTTTAGTCTGTGTTGAATAGTAAGCCATGGAGTTTTTGAAATGGGTGAGAACCCAGTGGTCCATGAGAGTTGCTTTTGGCTTCTGGTCATCATTCACCACCATGTCAGTCACATTCAAGGGGTATCATATTGGGTTTAATTTGCATGTATCTGTCTCTTAGGATATTTATTTCTAATGCTTATTTGCTTCAGTTATCATTCCTTGCTGAAATGTCTGCCCACATGCTTTTGTTCTTTTTTTTTTTAAATAGATGCCTTGACTCCTAATTGAGTTTTGAGTTCTTTATGTATTTTAGAGTCATTACTTCGTGATGTGATATATATATATATATATATATCCCACTTTAAATATATTCTCTTAAACCTAGGAGCTGCAGATTGAACTCATTTAATTTCTAAAATATACCATTTGTATTTCTTAATTGCAAAGCAAGAGCCCTTGTCAAGTCAATTAGCTAAATTATACTTTCAGTCAGAAAAAATTCTGACCTCATTTTTCAGTTCTAATAAATATATTGATGCGGGCTTCTGCAGTGACGGTGTCACCTCTGAATCCAAATTCTAAAGTAGATAGACAAGGTTTGGCCATTTGGCATACTTTTGGATCTCATGGGAGAAAAGAATAACACAGATTCTTCTCTTTTTTCTTCTTCTAACTGATGCTCCTTTGTGTGTCCTCTCAGGGTCACCTCAAGGGTGATGCTCTGTTTGGGGAAAATTACCTCCAGGTTAGTGAAAATGTCTTTACTCTCATCCTTCCTTCCATATTTCTGGATTCCAGATATTACAACGCAGCCAAAACACTACATTTCTTCCCTTTTTTTTTAAATGAAAAATTTTGATATAAAGATTCACATCAGGATAAATGATAGTTTATGAAATTTCCTTCTCCTTCCTTCCTTCCTTCCTTCCTTCCTTCCTTCCTTCCTTCCTTCCTTCCTTCCTTCCTTCCTTCCTTTCTTCTCTCCCTCCCTCCTTCCCTCCCTCCCTTCTTTCTTTCTTCCTTCCTTCCTTCCCTCCTTCCTTCCTTTTTTTCTTTCCTTTCTTTTTTGTGGTAAGTTATGGGGCTTGAACTCTGGGCCTGGGCACTGTCCCTCAGCTCTTCAGCTCAAGGCAAGCGCTCTACCAATTGAGTCACAGTGCCATTTCCAGTTTTCTGGTGGTTTAATGGACTGTTTTGCTCAGGCTGGCTTTGAACTGCAATCCTCAGATCTCAGCCTCCTGAGTTGCTAGGATTACAGGCATGAGCCTCCAGCACCCAGCTTCCTTCTTTTCCTTCCTTCCTTCCTTCCTTCCTTCCTTCCTTCCTTCCTTCCTTCCTTCCTTCCTCCCTCCCTCCCTCCTTTCTTTCTTCTTTCTTTCTTTCTTTCTTTCTTTCTTTCTTTCTTTCTTTCTTTCTTTCTTTCTTTCTTTCTTTCTTTCTTTCTTTCTTTCTTTCTTTCTTGTACAAGAGTTTGAGGTTAGGGCCAAATGATTTCTAAGACGGTGTTCTACCACTTGAGCCACACATCTTACCCTTTTCTCAGATAAGATCTTGCATTTTTGCTTGGGTCTTGACTAAAACCACAGTCTTACATGTTACGCATGCCCCTTTTATAGCTGAGCTTCAGAACATGCCACCACCACTGGCTCATTTGTTGTGTCAGGGTCATCAGCATTTAGTTCAGGCTGGCCTCTAACCACAATCTTCCATTCTTTGCAGCCCGAGGAGCTAGGGCTAGAGTTTTTAGCTTCATCATTACATCCCCCCCCCAATTTCTGAGTCCTTCAATAAATTTTGTACATTTGGGAAAGGTAGGCAGTTTTTTCTTAGCTATCAATATTTCAAATTGTTTTTTCCACCCTGGGCTAATGCATCACAGTAACAGTAAGTATTCTGAGAATAAGACACTTTTTATCCCCTCCCTCCATTCAGGGGGAGAATTCTAGACTGGAAGAAGAAGGAGGGAAAGAAAGAAACTACACAACTCAAATTACTTCCTTCTAGAAGACCACGAGACTGTCCTAGATGTCTCCTAGATGGAGAAAGGGGTGATATCTTTGAGCAGTTAAACAAAATTTATAGCCAGAAGGTTGTCAGTTCTCATTGGTGTGTTTTCAATCTATGTGCTTACTAATCAAAACCTCTCTCTGTCTCTCTGTTTCATTATCTGTCTCTTTCTCTGCATACATACATTTCTTTGCCAATATATCTATCTCATCATTTCATAGAGGGTGGTATCTTTATGAGAAAAATGAAGGACTCCTATTAATATTTTAAATCAGCTATCGCTGACATACCACTTTTAAGAGCCTTTGATTAATGTTTCTCCTGTATGATTTTCTTGAGGGAAAACCTCAATTGGTATCAGTGGGAGACCTAATTATTAGAGTATTTAATTAAGAGCTTCTTTTAGGCGCTTTTCAAAGAACTATTTAAGATCTCAGAGACTCCACCTTATTTAGATCTCTAGAACTGAATAGCGAGGACATCTTGACAATACTGACAAAGATTCAACCAGACTAGACATTACAAAAAATGATCATTTACTCAAGCTTTACAATAAAATATTCATTTAATAAGATACTCACAGAGGCAATAAAATACATATTTTAATTGGCTTTTCAAACTCATTTAAAAAGAGAAAACTGTCATTTTAGTGAGCTTAGCTAGTTTTCCTCCCTCTAGCATACCAGGGCACAGAATACAACTCACAACCACATCAGGTGAGAAAGTCAAGTGCTGCTTACTCATGTGTCTTTACCAACAGAGGAAACACCTGCTGCTTCAGCTGCTGGCATCAGGACTCTTGGTGTTGGGTGTGTTAAAATTTTGATATGAATTCAGTGTCTTTGGTGCATCTGTCTTTTCCTGTCTCAGGAGGAAAGTATAGACGGTAACTAACAACTAGAATGAAAGGCCTTTTGTATCTTTGGGGCACATTCTTGAGTGTGTCCCAAGAAGAAAATCTGTACCCCTCTCTCCCTTATCCCTTAAAAACAATCCCAGGCCCATTTAGCGGATTTGTCTAATGATGGAAACATAGGGAGATAAGATTCAAATATGAGTATGAACTTTGTATGCAAGATATAATTGTTCCAGTCTTACAAGCTGAAGCCCCCAACCCTCTGCTGGAAAAGCGAAGTTGTATTCTTGCTCCTACAATCCTCTCAGGCACCACAGGAACCTGAACTCGCATCATCCAGAAGAGAAATGTCCTTCGAAGCCAACATGTTTGAAAAGATTCCACGAGACTATGAACATGTCAAATGGAACAAGGAACGAACCACTGCGGATCGAGTTAAGAACATCTGTGCCTCTTCGTGCAAAATGAAGAAGAGGAAATTTAATTAGATCTCATAACGGAGAGCCTTAAACTTGAGCAGTTATTTCCTCTTGGCAGCCATGAAAACGGATGCCACTTATCAGATCCTGCCTGTTCCCCTGGTTACACCCACAACAGCCTCCAAGGATCTGGCTTGCAATGCCCCCTTCCTACTGCTGGTGCCAGGGACATGGTCTTTCTCATCAATGATTTCCTACATATTTCCCGTCGCCCTCTGACTAAGGTTATGCTATTCGTGCTTTCTGATGTGTTTCTTACTATCTCCAACGATCTTAATCCCATGTGTGCGTTTCCCATTGCCCATTTGTGGGAACTCATCCACCGGATGAGTGATATTTCTCCCAGTGTTTCTGCTCCCTTTGCATTTCCTTCTACCTTCCTCCTACACATGGTGTCCTGCTGTGCCTTCCTTCTTCATATGAACTGAATATCATTGTGGCCTCTGATTTAATTCTTTTTTTTGGGGGGGGAGGCGGTCCGGTCGTGGGGCCTGAACTCTGGGCCTGGGTGCTGTCCCTCAGCTCTTCAGCTCAAGGCTAGCACTCTACCACTTGAGCCACAGTGCCACTTCCGGCTTCTTTCTTTTTGCTTATGTGGTGCTGAGGAATCAAACCCAGGGCCTCAGGCATGCAAGACAAGTGCTCTACCACTGAGCCACCTTCCCAGCCCCCGTCTGATTTAATTCTATGTTGTATAGCTAAAGCATTAAGAAGTCCCCCTGGAGGGATTGAAGAGGTAATTCTTTTGAATTTGAATTCCAAGTTCAAATCATTTGGAAGAGTTCATATTTTTTTTTTCACAAGGAAGATATAGTGTGTGTAAGTGGACCTTGGGTATAAACCACCAGGTGTATGAGAGCCTTGCTAAATTATGAACTTCATTCAGATCTCATTACTAAATTCTATTTACAACACGGTCTTTCATTTCTGCTTTTGGACTATTACAGGGCTTTTATTTTTTAAATAGGAAGTCAGATATTTGCCTATATTATACAAAGAAGATGTATAAATAAATAGTTTGCACAGTTTTCAAAATAACAATTAAAATGCCAGTTGAGTAAATTCATTTCAATTATTTTTTACAATCATAAATACTGAGGAAAAACTCACAAGAATAATTTATTTCAATATACAAAAAGTTTATATTTATATCCATTTCAATATATAAAAAGTGTTTATAGTTTATGAGATTAAGTATTAGAATATGGGGTGGGTGTGGCAGGGCTTCAGTGTCACCATCTATACTAGGTTGGGTCTACATGTATTTTTTGAGAATACTTCAGTGTCTCCATATGTACACTCTCTATATACATTTGGACCTTCATATGTGAATTGTGTATTTGTGGTTATTACGAACTCTGACAGATTCCATGTACTTGAAAAAAATACTGACCATATTACAAATTTTGTTTCTTGTCATTAGTCATTAAGCAATAAGTAAAAAATTATTTACATAGCATTTATATTGTGTTAGGTATTATAAGTCAACTAGAGATAATTTCTGATACATGAGAAAGTTAATGCAAATGCCATATTACCTGAGGAATTTGAGTGGTACTGAAGAACATCCCAGAGATAACCAGTAAGTGGTGTGTGAATGTATGTGTGTGTGTGTGTGTGTGTGTGTGTATAGAACATATGTATATATGATACAATATTTGCCTAATCAGTAAGTCAGAGCACTAGTCACTTTGTACCAAAACCTATATGTAGATTCAATTCAAATTTAAATTTGCACTTTAACTTTTCCCTACTAACTATCCCACCAAAAAAAAAAATAGAATGATCTATGGTATAGTTTAAGAATTTTTTGTTTAGCACTTTTCTTTTTTCCTTTTTTGTTCACTTGGAGTCTACTTCTCATCCAGCTGGAAGCCTCCATTTGTCTTGTGACACGTTGACTCCGACTTGGTGTCATTATCTTTGTTCTCTGAAAATTCTGCAGTGTTTTTCCCATAACACTTCTTGTATCCAACATAAACTGGAAAACAGTACATAGGAGGTGAAGAAAAATATTAGGTGGTTGCAAAAACTTGGACTTTAGTGTACAACTTTACATTTTCTGTTGACTCTAGTCTTTATAGACTCTCATCTAGTCTATTGAGAAAAAACAACCATTGTCCTTAGTTCTACGATGCTCATGGCAAGCAGGGTGGCTGTACTTAAGAACGACCGAGCAGAGAACATCAGCAGATAATGGCTTCTGGCAACTACGTGGCATTTTCTGGATTTCAGTGCTGTGATAGTGAGCACAAAAAGCATGCCTTCCATACCAAGCCTCTCTCAGCAACTGCACTATTCTTCAGCCATTTACACCATGTGACAGGGCAGTGTCTGTGAATTTGGGCTGATGGACCTTTGGGCAATACTGGAGCTAGAATAACCAATGTGGTCTCTCCTGTCTTCATTCTCTCTTTCCCGTAGGAGAAGAGCTTTGGGCGAGGGGTGATTGACCTTCCTCTTCTCTATGGTACTCAATTCTCTGTTTGCAGCCATTTCTGAGTCTATGTGTGAGATCAGCTTACCAGAGCTGTTTTATATGTATGGTCTGCCATTTATATGTGTCCATATATTTGTACACGTAAGAGGTAAGGGAGTGGTACCTGTATTCACGGGGCTCTTTGGTTGTAGATTCAAGCCATATTTTCCAATTAAGCTTTATCTGAAGTAAAGTGCTATTTTAAATATCTCATTTTCTTTCTACCTCTCAACCAGGGAACGGAGGCATCATTTGTTCAAATTCCAATACTTTATGCATAGAACCACAGCGATGACACTATCGACTCTTAGGGCAGTTTGAGGACATGCGGTGGAATAACATGAAGTGCTAGGTAGGGCTGTGGAGAATATTACATGCTATATTTGCTACCACTATAAGACAACTGAGAGAAACAAGCACATGGATTGTAGTAAGTCCAGATTTGTATCTGCTTTGAATTATTCCTGAGTTTCTAGCCATGAAATACTGCTACGAAATTGTTAGTTTATTGTATTTTTTTTGTGGCACTGGGTTTGCACTCAAGACCTTACACCGGATAGGCAGGCGCTCTGCTATAGCGTCACACCTCCAGCCCTTTTCTGCATTTGTTAATTTTGACCTAGTTTTTCACAGCCTGACTGGGGGTAGGGGGGAGGGCTCCTGGATTACAATCCTATATTTTGCATCCCACCATTGTTGGGATGATGCACGCATCTTATCCCATCTTCTTCCATTGAAATGGAGTCTCATGGACTTTTCTGTCCAGTCTGATCTGGGACCATGATTTCTGCCTCCTTCCGGTCCCCTCCCCACCTCAGGTTCCCATATAACTACGATGACAGGCACAGTCACTATATACCCAGCTATTAGAGGAGGAGGAGTCTTGTGAAATTCTCTGCCTGAGCTGATTCCAAGCCAAGAGTCTCCTGATTCCAGCTTCTTAAGTAACTAGGATTATAGGTGTGAGTCACCAATGCCTGACATTAACTATTGAGTTTAACTGAGCTTGTGATTAACTGAAAAATCCAATACTTATTATACACTATTTAGTCTGCGTGCCCTCAATTTATGCCAGTGATTTAGTTTAGCCATACCATATATTTTATTTATTCCTTTCCCTCCCTCCTCCCCTTCCTCTCTCCTTCCTTTCATCCTTCCTCCCTTCCCTTTCTCCCTCTCTCCTTCCCACCCTCCCTCCCTCCCTCCTTCTTTCCTTCCTCCCTCCCTCCCTCCCTTCTTTCCTTCCCTCCTTCCTTCCTTCCTTCCTTCCTACCTTCTTTCCTTCCTTCCTTCCTTCACTATCCTTGTTAAAAGAAATTAAACTGCTATTTCTATCACCAAAATTTATTTCCTGGCTCTGTATACACTTCACAAAGATGCCTTCTTTGTTCTTGTGCATAGGTAATGCTAACAGAAAGTGCTGGACTTTTCTGGTGTCCCCTTGTACTTCATTCCTTTGACTTTGTCTTTTTTTACTCAGTCTTTTTTGAGTTAATTCCATCTCCATGGACAAAAGCTTGACACAGTGGAAGCATGTACCCAATAATGACAGAAAGCCCAAGGTAGGGAACTGAGAACGTGTTCCCCCCAAAATAGCCAGCAAAAATCAAGAATCAGGGCTGGAGGTATGGCTCAATGGTCTAGTGTGGGCCTAGCAAGAGTGGGCCCCTGAATCTAAAACTCAGTACCACAAAACAGAGGCAAAACATCACTAATTCTTGGAAAGTAAAATGTAGGGAAAAGTTTCAGCTGAGAGGAGGCTGGTGGGTGCAGTCCTGATGGAATGGATCAGTGTTATAGTGGTGCAAAATTAGGATTCGGACGCTGTCCCTGGTAGGTCATTTCTGTTTAAATTGGTTCAACTGTATGGATATTAAAACTTATGTATATATACCTGCACACATACATATGTCTCATAACTTAGCCTTATAAATATCCTTTGTATAGCACTTTTCTTTCCACATTGGATCTCAGTGTGTAGATAGGCTGGCCTTGAACTCATTCATGATCCTTGTGCTTCTGTTTCCAAAAATAATGGGACTTTAGGCATCTGTCTGCATTCCCAACTTATAGATCACTTTTCCAAAAAAACAAACATCTTCTTTTTGCAAAACATACCAACCAGAAGACTGAAGGATTTGGAAAGACCCATGATAGGTTTCCAGACAAGTTACTATACTTCCCGAGAAAGGGAAGTCCACAGAGATCATCAGCATCTGTTACTTTCCATCTAACAGTAATCTTCCCTAATACTTTGGTTAAAACTACACTGCCCTTTCCTCCGTGGCTGGTAGAGTTATTCTCTCATATTTGTACAATTTGTAGTTAGGACCAGAGGATTATTTTTTAAAGACTGTTTTAGTGAGACTAGGATTTCGCTCAGAAGAGCATCGTCGTGAAAGTAGATGCATGTAATTCCTTACTTCCTAATAATATTGCGGCAAAGATGATCTGGAAGATGCTGTAGATGAGTGGGAAGGTGAACACCAGGTTGAGCTCCTCGGGGGTGAAGGAGAGCTGCACGATGGTGGAGCACAGTTGGCTATTCTGCATCCCTGTTTCCAAAGCAACTGTTCTGCATCTGCAGGGGGTGGCACAAGAAGGTGTGTTTCAGTGGTTTTGTTACCTTATCGCATCACCTGTAGGGCACAGACACTGAGAACAAGTGTACCGTCTACATATGGAGTTTCCCTTTGCTTTTATGGCATGCATTTAGGGTGCCTTTTCAGTGTATAGCTACTGTTCTATAAATAGTAATCTCACAACCTTTCTCAATTTATGTCCTCGTGCACAGGGCAGGGGTTCTAAAAATCTTCAAATGGAGTGTTGTTATCAGTCATGTAGTCTGACTAAACCCTGGTCAAAAACTAGCAAGGCAGAAGTTATTGTCCCCGTTCTATAGAAACAGAGAGGACCTGTGAGTGAGTGCTTCAAGGCCCCATCCTTGGTGAGGGACAGGCCTACCTCACCCCCCACACTGCTCCCGGCTGCCCCAGGCTGCTCCGCCACTCACCCCACACCTGCCCTAAGTTCTTACACTTTCTTTTCTTCCTGTCTGTTGGTTTTGATGGAGTCGCATGAGGGGAAATACTTTTAGATAGATGTTAAGGCTATCTCCATACTCAGCATGTTTGGATGATGAGGTCACCCTAATGCTGGCTAGAGGAACCCACATGGATTACCAGGCACGCAAATCACCACTGAGGTTAAACTTGCTCTGCTTAGGGAAGATGGAAACCTCGTGATGGGAAAGCTCAATCCTCACTGGATGGGTAGGAAGGGGTGGTTTGGAAGACTTCGAGAGGACCAAAGACAAAAGCAGCCAGTGGTGTCTTCCTTGAGAATTCCCTCAGTTAGGAATGAATGATTCCATTTAGAATGACATCAGTGGTGGTTAAAGGTGAAGGGTTTTGAACATGTCATCTGTATTTACAATAATTATGGGTTGTGTATAGCTCTCTCTCAAATTCTTTTGGGGAAGTCCTGACCCCTAGTAGCTCACAGTGGGGCCTTACAAGGAAACAGGATCACTGCCAACATAGGTAAGATAGGAGGTCATTAAGGTAGTCTGAATCCCAAGTGACTCATATCGTTACATAAAGGGGAAATCAATTTGGAGAGGGGAAGGGGAATAACAAAACACTGAAACAAGGACACAGGATGACCCATTGCAACAATGATACCCACAAGACACTATGTTGGAAATGAACTTTACAACTTCGGGGGAGTGGGGAGGGAAGGGAGAGTGGGAGAACAACAAGGGAAGGGGCAACAACACTCAACAAGAAATCTGCTCATTATCTTACTCATGTAACTGTAACCCCTCTGTAAAGCATCTTTACAATAAAATAAAATAAAAATCCCAACTACACACACACACACACACACACACACACACACACACACACACACATACACAAAAGAAACATTCAGAGGGAAGATGATAAAATGAGACTGGGAGAATGGCCTTTTATAAGGCCAGAAGACCTCTCTCTACTATGGTAGCTTCTTTCCTCATGGGCTTTATAGAAAACAAACCTGGAACAACTTTATTTACCTGACTGGTAATCCTCCTCTCCCCATCCCAAACTGTCAGATAATATATCTTTGTTGTTTGAGCCACTCACTTTGTGGTACTTTGTGATTGCAACCTTGGCAAACAAACGTAACTGTTACTGCAATTGAAAATCTCCAGTCTAGTTAATCAAAGCACTGTACCTGTGCCAGGGCTGGCCGGCTATCCTAGCCAGGAAGAACCCCAGGCTGTAACCAGCTATAGGAAATATTGTTCCTATGACCCACAGTTTGGGCTCGATGATCCAGGCACTTTGGTACAGTATGCCTCCCACCACAGCGATGAGGACGATGAGAATGGCACCTGCGATGGACCCGATCTGGAAAGAAGGCACAAGAGAACCCAACAGCCCCAATCAGAGAGTCCAGTCTCCATCCACCTGGGAATGGATAATGGAGGCATTTCTCTCTGTATTGCTAGCCTGGCCACTAGAATACCACTGTCTGTGCCACATTTCTATATGTCAGAAAAGAAGAGAAAATGTTGTATCCATGCTCAATTTCCCAGAAGATGATGTTCTAGCTTGCTAATTATTTGGTCAGAGGGGAAGTAAAATCTATAACAGCCTAGAAGATTTGGCTTCTAGTTCAGTTCCTTCTGTCTGTCTCCTTTGGTAAGTCATTAACTGTTCTGGATGATTATTTCTTCTTTTGGGGGTTAAAATTTTGTTCTAGCCACGTTTTTTGCTATTATTATTGAAAATAAGGAAATGGACATAAGGCTCTTAAGTTTAAGAAGGCATAGATAACTAAAGCCACTGTTATCATTTTCTTCTGTATATATTTGAAAACAAATTTTAGGAATCAGTTATGGTAATGTACTCCTATGGTCCCAGGTTCTTGGGAGGCAGAGATAGGAGGATTGTAGTTGGAGGTTGACCTGGACAAAAACCACAAGACCTTATCTAAAAACAAACTACGAAGCAAAAGTACTGGCAATGTAGGCCAAGTGATAGATGGTGTGCTCAGGAAGCATAGAGAATTCAAATCCCAATATTGCATCCAGTTCTTTCTCTCTCTCTCCTCCTCTCTCTTGCTCTCCTCATTATCTGTATGTGCCCTCTGAGTAGCTTTATCTACTTTGAGTAGTAGGACCTATCCACACCATTTGTATCTGTATCCATACAGAGTAAATATGTACACAGTTGAATTATACAGAGTTAAATTATAGTTCCTTCTGGGGAACAAATGATGATTATATGTGTAGCATCTACCGGTTGCCAGACATTGAACTGGATATGTCATTACTGGCATTAGAAAAAATAGGTTCTATTTTCTAGATGTCCAGATATGTTTTGTCATAGAAACGCACATAGTGGAGATAGCAGCAATGCTCTGACTACACAGTAAAGCTAAGAGGTGATGCTTGAACTGGTGTCTCAAAAGATTGGTAGAAATCAGCCCAATGGTGGGGCCAGAAAGGGCGCTGAGGGACAGAGGACTGTCTGACTGGGAATGTAGGCCCCTAAGAAGATAGTTGCATGATGAAACTGAGACAACTGGATAAATGGAATGACTGCATCATTTCAGATGTTGTTACTGGCAGCATCTCACCATGCTTCTTGTAGCAGGGGATACTTACCTTAAGTATGATCTTTGCCTTTTGGGGCCATTTGTGATTAACAAACATTCCAATGGAAACAGGAATAACAAGAGCCACCAGAGAAGTACCTGAAGATGGTCAGCGTGAAAAGAGAAAAACCATATGTGAATGGCCCGAGCATGGGATTTTAGTCTTTCTTGAACATATAAAACAGAATAAAGAATTATATACACACACATCCTTTTCCTTCTCCTTCTTGTTCTTGTTCTCCTTCTCCATTTCCTCTTCTCCTCTCACTCCTTCTCATTTTCTTCCTCTTCCTCTTTCTCCCTCTCCTCCCTCTTCCCTCCTGCCCTCTCTCTCCCACCTTTCCTTCTCCCCCTCCCCATTCCATTAAAGAATTCAATACTGATCACATAAAATCCTCTCACTAAATCTTGGGGTGAGTTTTTTTCAGTGCCTTATATTTCCAATATGCTCATTTCAATTTGTCAGCATCTTGGCTTCTTTAGTCTATCAGTCTTAAATTACATTACATTAATTCACTAATTTGACAGCACTGGGGTTTTTGAAGTCAAAACCCTATTCATGCTAGACAGGCTTTTCAGAGAGGGTTTCCTTGTTGCCCAGGTCTAGCTTCACACTGTGATTCTCTTCCTTTTGCCACCTGTGGAGCTGAGATGATGAGATTATTTCAGCATGCCCTGCAGATCTAGGGAAATTATCATCTAGGAAAAATATGCCCACATTTTGTGTGCTTGAATGTGAATGTATTTATATATGTATACATATATATGTGTGTATATATATATGTATATGGCTGATCTTTTTCATAAAGGAATTCTGGTCGTTTCTGTAGATGGTATTTTATATCTGTCAGTTACTTCATGGTAGTAGGCATAAAAGAAATATGAAAGCATCTTTTAAATGAAAAATATTGAAAAATTGGCTGAAGATCTGTAGGCCTTCTGAAACCTCATGAGTGTTGGTTAAAACCAACTTCAGTTCTTCAAGTATGTGGCAAAGATGTGAAACAAAAGGTTGAAAAACCAGCCTTTAAATTTTCCCTGAGAGACTAAATTTGGCACCTTCTCGTGTAATTATCATTCCTTGCAGCAACATGCTCAGCCAGCCAGGTAACAGACTCATACTTCAACCTCATCACATTAAATTTACTGCTACTCCTGTGACACATGGCTTGTTTCTCCATGTTATTTACTATGCATTTGTCCAACAGCTGTTTCTATGCACAGAACAGCAACATCTTCTAATTTCTCAAGGGCTCCTTTTGCAAACAGCCTTTGTTTTCTTGGAAATACTGAGGCTTGAACTCAGGACCCCATGCTTAGTTGGCTTCCTTGATTGGTTGATACTCTTCCCTTGAGCCCTGACTCCAGCCCTGCTTTTTGCTAGTTATTTTGGAGATGGAGTCTTGTAGCCCTTTCTACCTGGGCTAGTTTCACACTGAAATCCTCAGATCTCATCCTCTTAAGTAGCTGGAGATTACAGGCATGAATCATAAGTGCCTATCTGCAAACAATCTCATAAGGTAGTATGAAATTCTGAGAGTTTAGGGATGGACTGACCGAAAACTCCAAGACAGATTCTGCATTCCAAAGCTGTAAATATTAACTTTAAATGAATGTAATAATACTAAAACCATACTTTCTTTATAGCAGTCTACCCTTCCTGATAAATGTCAACAATCACTTCTGCCATGATATTACTCAGCAGGATTAAATAAAACTAAGGGAGCCAAGAGCTGGAAAAAAGAGAGGAAAGAAGGAAGGAAGGAAGGACGGACAGGAGGAAGGAAAGAAGGAAGGAGTGGGTAGGAAAGCACTTCTTTTTCAGGAAAAAATGATGCAACAGGGATCAAGGAGCAAGCATTAGCAGAAAGGCAAGATCCCTCCCCCCAAATCCACGTGGATACCCTTTCTTCCTATGGTCTGAGGGAAGGGGATTTTCTTTCTTGGATCCCTGAACTCCTCCTGAGATTTTGTGAGGTTTGTAGGTTTATATTAACATGTTCTGGAAATAACTTGTTTGTATTGCAGTAGCTTGAATTGAAAAAGACGTATGGCTATGCTTTTGTCTGCTCATTGTCAACATTTTGAATCTGTTCCTCTCCTCAGGCTGAGCCAGCCCAAGGTGACAGGTTCAACCGGGGCAGCAGTGTGTAAGTGCTTTTTCTCTCTAGACTGGGTTGGGCTGGATGGACTTTGCTTTTAATGACTTGCTGGGAAAGACAGTCTTTCAGTTCTTTCCCACTGGCAGATGCGGCTGCTTCCCACCTGTAGAGCAGGGATGTTGTCACCATGGTTCCTCAGTGGCTGTTAGTTTGACTTATTCCTCACATGTCTGAGCTATCTATGTAAGTTGTCTTCCTCTACGGAGCAAAAAGGATAGATCTTTTTGCAGTTGTATCATCAAAACCAGGATACGACCACACTTTTCGACCTAGCATCTTGTACATCTCATTGTTGCAATGGGTCCACCTGTATCCCTATTTAAACAATTTGTTTTTTCCCTTCCTCTCCCCAAATTATACCGACATCAAATACAGTGAAAGCAGGGGTTATGTAGTCAAGTTTATAGGGCACGAGCAGGAGGAATGAAAGGTGGAAAGAAAGAGGGGAAAAAGAGAAGAGCAGTGAGCATCTTTACGCGGGGGTAAGTCAGATGGACTGGAGATGAACTTTGTTTGCCAACTAGAAACTGCAGATCGGTCTGCCAGTGCTCCTTTTCCCCACATGTAAACTGGAGTGGAGGATGGTAGTCCTGGAGCTGGGTGAGAATTCAGCAGTGACTAGGGTGGAAAGCCATCTGGGACCCTCAGGGTACAAGACCTTGCCACAATGTTTGTTTTTAGTGGCTTCAGCCGTAAGGGAGCCCTTCCTGGTGAGATGTCACTGTAAGAAGGGCTCAGCGGTCATTCCTGTGTTGTGGGTTTACCCTGAGCTCTGATGGAAGCCGTCACATGCCCAGGGCTAGCTCACATAGCAGCACCGGAGGACAGCAGGACCGTGTGTCCCAGCTCCCCTGCCCTGAGTACCAACCGCCTCATTTACACAGTGCCATACCGTCCCTTGAGATTACCAGCACATAATTTCCTCATTACAGGACTGGGAAAATCAAGAGAAAAAAAAACAGGTCAGGTTGGAGAGTATTTCAGGCAAACATGATGGTGAGCCAATCATTATTATCTGTGTGATTCAAGTCCTTTCCTTCCCCTCTTCTTCTTCCCTTCCTTTCCTTTTTTATCTTTATCTTTTTATTCCCTTCCATTCAGTTATTCCCCTTTCCCTTCTTTCATCCCTTCTATTTCCCTCTTCCCTCTCCTTTCCTTCCTCTTTCATTTACTTTTCACTCTTCTCTTTCAGTGACCTTTTCTTGTACCCAGGTAGTAGTAAGTCATGTCTTTTCTTCCCCCCTCCTTTCAACGTTTATTCACATTAAAGGCTATGCTATAAATCATCCGTCCTATAGTTAGAATTACTCAGTACTCCCTTGGGGATATTTCCCAGAAGGGAATGAATATGAAAAAGAGAATATTTTAAGGCTTAAGTGCTTTTCTTATCCAATGAGCATTATGCAATACAGAATTCCCAGTCAGTCCCAGTTCAATGAGGGAACTATGGTCTTTGATGTTCAGACTCCATTCTGTAACTCTAAGGAAGGCATTCAGGAAAGGAACAGCCAGAGAGATAAGCAGCATGGAGCGCAGGGAGGTAGACTTGAGGTAGACAGGGGGCCCATGCTAACATCTGATTGCAGGAGATACAATGGGGGCTTAGTATGAGAGACACAGAGAAAACCCCCAGGGAACAGAGTTTGACAATTAAGATTTTTTTTTTTGCAGTCCTGGGGCTTGATCTCAGGGCCTGGGCCCTTTACTTGAACTTGTACACAAGGCTAGCACTCTACCACTTGAGCCAAGCTCTGCTTTCAGCTTTATGATGGTTAACTGGAGATAAGTGTCTCACAGACTTTTCCTGCCTGGGCTAGCTTTGAACTGTGATTCTCAGATCTCAGCCTTCTGAGGAGCTAGAATCACTAGTGTTAACCACCTGTGCCCAGTCAAGACTATTTTTCAAAAAAAAAAAAAAAGTTGCCGGGTGCCAGTGTCTCACGCCTGTAATCCTAGCTACTGAGGAGGCTGAGATATGAGGATCATGGTTCAAAGCCAGCCCGGAAGGAAAGTCTGTGAAACTCTTATCTCCAATAAACCACCAGAAAACTGGAAGTGATGCTGTGGCTCAAGTGGTAGAGCACTCGCCTTGAGCTGAAGAGCCGAGGGACAGTGCTCAAGCCCAGAGTTCAAGCGCCACGACCGACTGAAAAAAAAAGTTTATGGTAGAAACAGAGGGCAGAAAGAAGACTATCCATAAATACTACACTGCAGATTACCATAATTACAACAAACTTTATTCTTATTCAGTTGTCTAAATTTGGATCAGGTTTCTTCACAGAAATAATCTTTCTTTGAAAGAGAATTTTAGTCCAGCTTTCCATTTCAAGTGGAATCCCTTTTACAGAGATCTCACGGGGTCACTGGTTGACCTCAGTTTACCTTGATTATGTGCTCCTTTGAATGGGAAACCCACATCAGGATGACACTTTTCCAAAGTCAGCTGGGAAAAAAAATAAAAACTATGACCATTTACCATGCCCTGTGCCTGGCGGTCAGTTCTGACCCATTACCCCATCTCCCCGGTCTCCATTTCATCTTTGTCACAGGACTTGTGTGGAAAATCTTGCTTTTGCCATGGTAGAGAACCTCTTGTCTTCCCTTTGACCACCTAGCTGTGCCATCCAAACCTTTTCATCTCCCACCGTCCTCCTTTTCTCAGAAACAGAAAAGAATCTCTGTCGGGAGAGGTTGGGGTGCCGTTTAAGAGTGGCAATGAATAGAAGACAGAGTCACAGTGACTTCTAGGGAATGAATACCAACTGTGTCATTAAGTTAACATCTGTACCCAGATGGGCCTCCCAGTTGAAGAGAACAACCGATGTGTGCCATCTGGTAGTTGTCCATGGTGCGAGTCATGATGGCTCACTGGTGCTCTGCTTTGAAATTGTTACGTGACTTTTGTTTATTTATTGTGGTATTTCTTTGAGTGTTCAGATTCCCATGGTCATGAGTTAGTTATCTTTGGGTTAAGGGCAGGGTGGAGATGGGGCCTGCAGCCTTAGCTTTCCCAGGACCAAGGAGAGAGGAACCATCACCTTGTCTTCTCTCCGTTGCTGATTTGCATGAAAGAAAATGAGGTTCTCTTGTAGGATCAAAAGCTGCAATTCACTTTCTGCCAGTACTGTGGTAAATACCAAGGTGACTACAACGAAATTGGAATCCAGCAAAAGTGCCCTCCAGGGCTGGACAGAGAGAATGCTGAAGTAAGTGTGCAGCTGTGAGGGAGAAAGCCGGAGAGTCAGTGAGTGCCGGTCAGTCAGCAGCCCCAGTGCGGCCGTGCACTTACCTATGCTATCGTAGGGGATGATAATGGACCCGGTATCAACCCACATTTTGGTGTAGATATAGAGGCACAGGGGCATCATTCCCAGGGCGAGCAGCGTGGAGAACGTGGTCATGCTGACGCTGCAAGGAAATTCGCAGGTGACATGTCTGCCTGTGTTCATTTCCTTTCTCCCTCCTTCCTCCCTCCCTCTCTCCTTCCCTCTCTCTCTCCCTCCTTCTCTCCATCCCCCTCTCCTTCCTTCCCTTCCTTCCTTCCTTCCTTCCTTCCTTCCTTCCTTCCTTCCTTCCTTCCTTCCTTCCTTCCTTCCCTCCCTCCTTCCCTCCTTCTTTCCCTCCTTCTTTCCTTGGCCAGCTATAGCATTGTGGTGTTCACAATGGTTTTTCTTAGGGCTATTTTACAGTTACTTGGAGGAAAAGGCTAACCATTTGGGTCACAGGCTCCCCACCTAAGGAAAACAACTCTAGCTGGTGCAGTGGCTCCAGCCGGTAAACCTAGCTCCATGGGAGGTGGATGTGCACCGTAGAATCATGGTTCGAGGCCAGCCCCAGCCACGATAGATATAGGAGCTGTGCAACTGTTGTCTCAGCTACAAGGGGAGCACAGTGTCTGGGTTCGGTGGCAGATACCCGCCACAGATGCTTCTGCACTTGGGTAAGTGACCTGGCAGTAGCACAAGTGGGAGGGGCACAGCCTAGACCAGTCCTGGCACACACCAAGACCCTACGCTGAAAACAGCCAATGAAAAAGGGACAGTGGGCATGGCTCCCGCTGCTGAGCGTCTGCCTAGCAAGCTTGAGAGTAGAGATGATCGGTCATGTCTCCAGTAGAGCAAACAAACAAACAAAATATATATCAATGACTAAATAAAAAGATCAACTCTATGCTAAGGAAAGTAGATAAAAATTTTTACTTCAGTGCATCTCTCTCTATATGCATCTATCTATCTATCTATCTATCTATCTATCTATCTATCTATCTATCTATCTACCTACCTACCTACCTATCTATCTAATGAATTCATTTACAATGTACCTAAAGGATTCAGATAAAAGTATTAGCATCAGTAAAGCTAACCCATTACAGCAATAGCCACTGCTAGAGATGTGTGTGAAGGCTTTCAGGGAAGTTTGTGGTCAGAGATTCCCTTAACTTGGTTAGAAAATAGTATTCAAAGGCAGAGCCTATACCAGCAAAACAAGCTCATTTGTTATTCATAATACCATGTCCTGCGTTTAACTAAAGTGCTGGAACTTATAAATGCTTCCTTCTTCCTTCCTCTCCTCTTCCATGACTCTCTCGCTTTAGTTTTAATTAAAAAGCATACTAGAATGGATTTGAAGTTGTCTCCTCAACAAAATCGCTTTTATTGCCATTCATTCATATGGTTCTTAGAGCCAGGAGTTTTGTGCTGGGAAATAAGATTCCTTATTTGGATGATAGTGAGGAGGAGGAGGAGGAGACTCAAACATTTTTGTTTTAAGCTACTAGAGCAATATTTGCAATGAAACTTTCCCCCTTATTTTATTTTAAATTTTCTTAGTAAAGCATCAATTCTGAATTCTTGTTATGATAATTTATGATGTGTCATGGGTTTGAGAGCAATTTCTTAAAGAACAAGAAGAGGAAGAAAATAAGAGTTGGAGAGGAGCTAGTTTAGATTTAGTGGACAATCAAGTTTTTTAAAATTATAGTTTATTTTTATTATAAAGGTGATATGTAGAAGGGTTACCATTTTGTAAGTCAGGTAATTTCTTTTTGGACAATGTCACCCCTTCCTTTGTTTTCCCCAGTTTTTGCCTCCTGCTCCCACCAACAAGTTTTATAGTTCATTTGCAACATAGTGTCTAGTGAATACCTCTGCTGCATTTGCTCACCTTTTGTCCCTCCATTTCTGACTTTGGAGCTGGGTGCTGGTGGCTCATGCTTGTAGTACTAACTACTCAGGAGACTGAGATATGAGGATTGTGGTTTGAAGCTAGCCTACACAGGAAAATCCATGATTCTTATCACTAAACAACCATCAAGAAAGCCCAAAGTGGAGCAGTGGCTCAAGTGGTAGAGCACTAGCCTTGGGCAGAAAAGTTCAGGAACAGAACTCAGGCCCTGAGTTCAAGCCCCATGACCTGCTCCAAATGTAAATATATTTTGGTAGCATTGATGGTTGAGTTCAGGGCTATGCACTTGCTAGGCAGGTGCTTTGTCACTTGAACAGGAGACAAATCCCTTTCCCATTGGTTATTTTTCAAATACGGTCTCATCTTTCTTCCTGAGCAGGCCTGGATCTTGATACTCCTATTTTAGCTTTTCAAAGAGCTAGGATGACATGCATGTACCACAATATTCAACTTTTTATTGGTTGAGATGGGTGGGGGTCTCTTGAACTTGTTTCCTAGACTGGCTCCGAATTTTGATTCTCTCAGTCTCTGCTTCCTGGATAACTAAGATTAGAGGTATGAACTCCTGCCCCTAGCTTCATAGGCAATCTTGAGAATCTTTTAGAGTATCAATAGAATATGCTGCTGAATTGATGGTGCTGAATTATAACAAGAAAAAAAGCCAGGCCACTGCAAATGATATTGCAACAATTCCTAGGTAGTGAATTTTAATGAAAGACATGGGGGAATAAATTTGTGCAAGAAAAAATTTTTTACCTGAAAGCATTTTAAGTTCCATGGAGGGCAAAGAAGTCAAACACAGAAATTCAACCAAGAATGTATATTGGGATGAGAAATGTATTAATGGGTAAGAATAATAAGCAATAGTTTGGCTTTAATGCTATGAACTGTCAGGTAGAATATGTGTGTGTGTGTGCACGTGTGCTCATGTGCATGCTTGTGCATGCACACACACGTCCACGTGTGTGCTGGGGCAGTGGAAATAGTTAATAAATGAGAATTCAGTGAGTACTAAGGCATTCAGTGAAATCACAGAAGTAAAACCTCAGTTTTATGATCAAAAGAAGTGTACATAGGTGATAATAGATTTTATAAACCTGGTAGGTAATAGAAATAATAAAGAAAGAAATTAAGAATTTGTTGAAAGCAAGTGGGTAAGCCTGGATTCCAAATCTGACACAAACATACATTGCATCAGTGATCTTGGTCAAAGTTATGAATGTTAACTTTTTTTCATTTGCCCAATGCAGAAAATAATAGTACTAATATGAGGGTTACTTCAGAAAACTAAAGTTACCTTAGCAAAGTGCATGGCATATAATTGTGTCAGCTAAACATAAGCTAATAAAATAGAAATAAATGCTACAGGAGAGAATAAAAGCTTAGTAAGTTTGAGAGAAGATAAAGCAAAGAGTCAAATAGTGATGACACAGGTCTTTCAGAACAGAGAAAGGATGGAAGTTGGTGTGGAGAAAGTTGGGAGAATTGCTTTGAGTTTGTGACCAGCTGGAGGGCTAGAAATCTAGAAAACAGTAAGTATAGAAAATAGAGTTCAGTGAAGACATTGAGAAAAAAACAACAACAAGGAAAGAATGCAGAATGGACTTGTGAATGCAGAGTCAGGGAAGGAATTCATTGCATCTTACAGATGAAGAGATCAGATATCCTCCAGAGTCTGGGGAAAGGGCAGGCACGAAGAAGGCTGGAAGTTTCTGTGTTTCCTCACAAATACACCTAGAATGCACCTGAAAGCTCATCTTCATTTCTCCTCGACACGTTTTGTGCACAGGATTCCCACCTCATGGCTACAACTTAGGAAATATATCTGCGCCCTGACTAGATTCACAAATAACAACTTCCCAGGATGGGCACAACTGAGAAGGAGCAGAAATACCATTTGCTGTATTTCACTGAGCACAGGTAATTGTGATTTACATACTTAGGTATTTATTGTTAAGTCCCTAAAGATCACAGAATGTAATGGTTTCCACCTCTGGAGAACAGATGGAGAAGGGCTAATGTTTGGTTTTGTCTCCTAGGAACCACATCCAAGAAAGGGGGAACCATTCTGCCAGCACCACATGACATTATTAGCCCCATAGGAAATGTCTGTTGTTGAAACAATCACATCTTTCCTGCTGCTGCTAGAGTTCAAGTGGCGGTGGAGAAAGTAAAATCCTAGAGCCCAGTAGTGGAAATATAAATAGTGGATAAGGTTGCAGCTAAATCAGTCATCATGAGACTCAGGTTTTCCAATAATAATAACAACAATAATAAGGTTTGGAAGATTGCTACCCAAGAGCTGATAATTAAGAGCTTTCTTAATTTGCTTTAAAGAAATAGTGGAATATTTTTTTTCTATCTGATGGAATGCAATATATCATCTTACCTAGTGACTTTGAAAGACTAAGAAAGACGTTTTATCTCATAATTAAAATGGACATTTTCAGTGCTGTGTATCCCACTCTTGGGAAGGGAAGGGGTCATATAAATGATTCAGCTGGGTTTTCTACACGTTTTGCTTTCTATTTTCTGAAACACGGTTTATAGGGATCATTATGCTAGGTACACAGGAAGCCATCCTCATCTCTTTAAGAGAAACAAGATTTCTTTTCAAAATAGATGGGTGTAACTTGGAGCTTTTTGATTCAGTTTCAGAGCTTTGGCTTGCAACAGTGACCGTTTCCACAGCTGACCGACATACGCTTTTCCATTTTTAGGAAGCAAGTTCATGTGTGTCATTAACTCAAGGCACAGTGGTATTGTGGAAAGACCGGACTGTGTGGTTGAAAAGTTGCGAATACTTAAAAGCTGTTAGTGGAGGTCAAAGCTTCAGTTTCTCTCCTCTCAGCTTAGGAATTGAGAGCTTTCATAACAGTCATTCTCGTGTGTCCGGGATGATGCCCAAAGAGCATTCATTGCTACATTGTAATTCACAGATTAACTGAACCTGAGGAACACTTGACATTCTGGATTCTTTCATGGGGCAACTGGAAGTAGTCTACTGCATTTTCCTCTGTGAAATGGAGAAATGCATACAGTTTGCAAGACTTAAGCTCCTGTGATGATCAGCATCGGCTGAGCACTGGTTGAGAGGAGACAGCAAGTTCCTCATTTCTCATCACGCCCTCCATCAGTGCAATGGTACATTTCTGCCCTTGGAGTTTCTCTCCCCGGCAGGTGGTATCCGGAGATTCACAGTGCTGCTTGCTTATAACCTGGTATTTAATGAACACACCTTGAACGAACACTTAATACTTCGCAGAAATGTGGATCTTCCACAGGAAATGAAGAAGTTGAGGCAGGGGAAAAAAGACATTTGCCTGTTCCATTTTCAGGAATAAAATTCTCAGTCCAGCCCCAGTAATTCTCATTTCTATTAGAAATAAGAAGACTTAGTTCAGACCAGCCAGGGGATGGATTGGGCCAGCATTAACAGTTTAGATTCCTCTGTGTGAAGCAGAGAAACTCTTTTGTGTTTATTTATAGTAGGGTAAGTATAATTTAAAATAATCTGACTGTAGCCCCCTCATGATGGCTGGTGGAACTGAAGCAAACTCATGAATGCTTCCTTAGATTGTGTACCAGGAAAGTGTTAGTTGGAGTAGATCATTGCCTTGCTGTGTGTGACAAGCAGTTTGAGTTCATGATAGTTCCCAGCACTCCTTGGTCTCACAAAGAACATATATATATGTGTATGTATACATATATATGTATATATACACACATACGTATATACATATATACCCACATACATATATACACTCAGATATATGAAACATATATATACATGCATACAGATGAAACCATATACATATATACACATGAAACCATATACATATATACACACATATGAAACCATATTTATATGTATATATATATGTATGAATAGTATCCTGATACCAGTTGCACAAGCATACTCAGTTATGGCTTTGTGGCTTAGAAAAGATTTTCTTGTTTTGGTTGGTTGTGGGGCCTGAACTCTGCCTGGGCACTGTTCCTCAGCTCTTCAGCTCAAGGCTAGCTTTCTACCACTTGAGCCACAGCGCCACTTCCGGCCTTTTCTGCTTATGTGGTGCAGAAGAATGGAACCCAGGGCCTCCTGGATGCGAGGCAAGCGCTCTACCACTGAGCCACCTTCCCAGCCCCAGAAAAGATTTTTTTTTGGACGACAACCAAGCCTTGGAATCTTTCCCCAGAGATAATTAGCAAGGCCACAACCTGGGTACTAACACCAAGGGGAATCCCCAAATTCTCAGCCCTGAGCAGCCGCGCCGGTGTGGGTCCTGTGCTGCTGGAGGCTGAGCTCACAGGAAGGCTGCACTCCAGCCCGTGCGCGCATCTGCCTCGGCCCTGGCCCCGTGCGTCCCGGCCCTTGTGTCCTGGCCCAGCTGGCGCAGGAAGGGCGCGCGTCTTACCTGAGGTCCATGTCGCCATCCACCCAGTAGGCCAGGACGTTGGAGGCCGTACCTCCAGGGCAGCAGCCCATAATCAGCACCACCACGGCCTGGATCGGGATGATGTGGAAGGCCACAGACAGGATGAAACCCATGAGGGGCATGATTCCGAACTGGCAGAGGAAGCCCACGAAGATGCCCCAGGGCCGCTTCAGGTGGCCCAGGAACTTCTCGATCTCCACGTTGCAGCCCATGGAGAACATCACCATGGCCAACAGGATGGTCAGCACGGTGCTGAGCACCAGGCTGAGGACCGCATTGAAGTCGCTCTCGGTCACCACGCAGGATGCCTCTGCGCACACTGTGGCGTTGGCTGGACATGTCATGGTGTTCTGCATCGCGTGGGCCGGCCACCTGCCACCTGCCACCTGCCACCACTTGCCACGAGCGCTCGCTTCCGCCGTGCCCAGGACCGCCTCCACGCCGCGCGGGCCTCCTCCTCCAGTCTCTGCCTCCTGTCTAGTGATGCCCGCTTCCAGCGAGGCAAACTTTTAAACCCCGTCTTCCCAGGTGGCAACTCAGTTGTCTCTTTCAAGAGCCATCGTGGAGAAGCCATAAAACCCCATAAATGCTCGTGGGTCGGTTTCCAGAGGTAACCTTACCACATAGCACATATCAGGAGTCATAAAAAGCCCAGGGATGATTGGCCCAGACAGAAAGTTATAATTAATGATTTATGGGCATGATAATGAACCGTGACACACAGGAATAGCTGTGTTAATGTTTAATGCTGACAAGGCTTGCTGACCAGTTTTTATTCTAAGGGACCCATCCTAAACAGTTTCTGCACTCAGATGGTGACGTGTTGTGGGTGAGGTCTCCCCTCACCTCCCTTTAGGGGGAGAGGACTGGGACTCTTCAAAGGGCCTGGGGTCAGGCTGTATTGCAAATCACCTGTCAGACAGAGCTGGAACCCTGAACCCCAGCTTCCCCGCCCCACGAATTCCTCCCACCGCAGCACACTTCCATTTCCTTCTACTGATGACCGGAACAGTCACAAAGTACACGGCGTGTAATGTCTGTGGAAGCCCAGCGCGTTCGTGCACACCTGTGGAGGGTGACACACTGGAGGGCACAGGAATTTCTGGTGAGGAGGACTCTGATTTGTGCGGAGCCGCCCTCGATCGCTCACACGTGCAATTAGGCATGCGTTGCCACCGCAACGAAGTGTTTACAGCTATAGACAATGGGATTAATTAGAGGGACCAACCTCAGAGGATTAGGTCAACAAGACAAGCTTTCTTCTGTCCTCAGAGTCAGGTGCTACAGTGCGGACTGTGTACGTGTGTGGGTGAAATCAGGTATGCAAGGAAGGGAAACACAAACAGAGCAAAGATGGTCTTGTGCCCATGTGTTTACCACTCAATGGTTGATATGGACACAGAGCAGGGATTAAGATTGAATATTTATATCATGATTTGTAAGCCAAATGTGAGCATGATTCAATTGAATCATCTTAACCCAGGAGGATTAATATCCTTGGCTCCTACTTTGTGGGCCCGAGGGTTGAAGTGATGATATGCTTTAATCCAGGTTCTTGAGCAGCTAGACTTCCGCTATTGCTACAGACTAGTAGAGATTCGGAGTCAAACCTTAGAAAGGGCTAGGCATGGTGTCTGTAATCCCGGCACTTGGAAGTCTGAGTCAGGAGAATCTTGAGTTTGAGGCCACAGTGGGATATAGAATAGATATTGCCTCAAAACACCACCCCAAAATCAATCCAAAATCAACACCGATCCCCTTGCCACTCCCAAACTTTAGAAATCGAAAATCTTCTGAGAGCTCTGTGCAAATGTCCCTGGGGGATGTTATTAAAAAGCAGCTGCTGGCTCAGGAAGTCTGGGATGGGCTTTATTTTCTAAACAGCTGGGTTGCTCCATGCAGCAGCCTGTGCTGAGGGAGATCATGGGACACCCGGCCCTCTCCTGTGCGTCCATGTGACCAGCTGTGGGCTGGCAGGCAGGAAGGTAAACTGAGTCCTAAATCCCCACAGCTGGGGGTTGGGGAGGGATGTTGTCCTTTTAATCTGGGACTAAGCACCTGGAAACCCTGAGCTGCTTCCTGAGTGGAGTCAGCTGGGCTTCAAAGTTCTCCCTGAGACACGCCCAGCCCAGGGCTGGCCTCCTCAGCCTCTGCTCCACAGCCTGCTTTGTCCTGGCCTGGAAGAGCTGCCGTTAACTCTGTCAAGCTCCCTCCTGACTTGTAGGATCAGAAGTCTGCCAAATGATCTTCTGGGAGGTTCTTCTGTGTCTCCCACTGGCCTTCCTGCCCAGGCAGCTAAATGATTAGCCAGGTAATTTCCCAAAGCGGCTTCTCCTCCTGCTCCTGGCTGTGCAATGGTTTGGCCCTGCCCTGCCAGCCTCTCCAACCATCTCCTAGGACTGACCTCTGGCTCACTTCCTCCCCACGTGCCTGGATCCCCAGTGCAGATGAACCGAGCATGCCCCCTGCTGTAAGCCTTTGCACCTGCCAGCTCCTGAGCTCTAGCCCCCTATGTATGGGATGACGGGCAGTGATGTTCACCCTGAGCAAGTAGCCTAGACCCTAACAGCAAAGAGCCTCTTTACCAAGTTTGGTCTGTGAGGGGAAGCTTGAGTCCTGGGCTGGATGGATTTGGGTTTTCCAATGTCTCCTAAATTGGGAAGGCTATGCTATGAGATCAACAAACAGAGATCAGGACGGGTATATTCATTCATCCTTCTTTGAATACCCAAGGGTTGGCCAGGGTGACACTCAGAGTTTAGGCCTGGCTTGTGTCTGGGCTAGTCAGCCACAATCCACACTTAGTCTCCCCTCCCCCTCTTTTTACTGGATGTACAGAAAGCAGAGAGAAGAGAACAGGTTCAGAACAAAGCTCTTCTCAAATTTCAGATGACTTGCTAAGAAGGTTTTAGGATCCCAGGGGCAGAATTCTTTGCATAGAGACAACTTGCAAATGAGCAGTCTGTTTGACTAGACAGAGTGCTATAGTTCTGGTTTAAAAAAATGTGCCATCGCATTTCTAATTTTCACATTGTTTTTACATAAATTTGCACATTAGGCTCAAGAGGCCTTATATTCAAGTATTGCACTGATTCACAATTAATACCCATAATAACTTCAGCTGCCATCAAATCTAGGCACCATATATATATATATATATATATATATATATATATATATATATATATACACACATATACACACATACATATGGCAAATATATATATATGTATATCTATCTATATATATGTACCAACCAGTGTGTTTACTTGTAGATTTATATACATATTCCAGTTACCACACACGAGGGAAACCATACAACTTATGTTTCTTTTAGTCTGGCTTACTTTGCTTAATATAATTTTTTTCCAACTCTTTCCATTTCCTTACAAATGGTACCATATCATTCTTTCTGATCGAAAATACCACATTTTCTTGATCCATTCATCCACTGAGAGGCATCTGGGTTGATTCTGTATCTTGGTTATGGTAAACAATGCTTCAATGAACATGATTGTGTTGGTAGCTTAGTGTGACATTGTTGGTGTTCTACTGAATAAATGTCCAGGAATTGCTGGGTCATAGGGAAAGTCTCTGTTTAGTCTTTGGAGAAACTTCCAAACTGCTTTACTTTCCCACCAACCTTTTAGAAGAGAGAAGGAACTTTCTTAAAATGTTCTCCATTTCTCAGAAATGGCGCTCACCTTCCTCACTTTAGAAGATTTGTACCTGGAGTCAGCTATTGCCACCAGATGGTGCTCATGCTGCTACCAGCTCTTTCTTCTTGCCAGTGCTTATCAAGGTCTTCTGCTATGGTGTACCAAGGCCTTCCCTCATGTCACCTCACTGCCCCCTCCTCCAGCCACCAGTATCCGCCATCTGAACGTCAACCACAGCCTCCAGACTTCAGCTTGCTCCCTATGGTCTCTTCTTCAAGAACCAATCTTTAAACACAAAACCCAAGAAGCAAAATGACTTGTTACAGTTCGAATCTGGACTATCCACAGGATGCTGGGTCCCACGGTTTGAACTATGGGAGGTGATAGAATCTTCCAGTCAGGGATCTAGTGAGAGCCCTTAAGTTCATTGGAGTTGTGGTCTCAGGGTGTGCCCAGGACTCCCACGGCCCCAGTCTTCACCTGCTCACCTCGCAGTTTTGGGGCCTTACCACTGGCCCCCAAAACAAGGAGGGCTACTGGTTATAGACAAAAACCTCTAAAACCCTGATTCAAAACAGGCCCTTTCTCAGGTAGTTGTTATAACAATGGAAAGCTTGCACAGACTTAAAATTATTTTAGTAAGCAAATCTCTGCTCACAGGATCTAATGTGTTTTCTTACATACAGAATAAAATCCAAACCACCGTGGTCCAACACCCAAATTCTTTGTCCCCACGCATCTCCGCATTGCGTGGATTACAGTGTCCTCTCATCAGTGTGGTATTCCACTCTCCTGCCCAGCCTCTCCAGCGTGCTCGCTACTTTGGATAAAATGAGCACAATTCTCCCTCAGGGTTTTGTACTTGCTGCTGTTTTGCCCAGAATATTTTCCTATTTGATCTTAGGGGCATTAATTCCCTCATTTCATTTAAGTCTTGTTCAGATCTAATTCCTCAGAAAAGCCTTTCCTGATGACCCTATTTTTTTTTTGTTGAAATCCTGTCCCCTTTTCAAATCTCATGATTCTTCCCCCTTCCCCTTAAAATTCTTATTGTGTCGCAGTCCATCCTGCATTTATGTGTTTGTCAGATTCCCCCCAGTAATCATTTTTCTAGGAAAGCTGTTAACTACCACAGTTTAGGTGGTTTCAACAACAGAAATTTATTTTCTACTAGCCCCAGAGTGTTGCTGGGGTTGGTTCCTTCTGAGCCTGGTGGCGGGTAGGGAGGAGCTGGCTGCAGGCCTCTCTGGTGGCTCACTCTGTAGCGTTCTTTGGCTTTTAGAAGCACCTCTCCAAGGGCTGCTACTAATTCTACGTGGTTTTCTCTCTGTACGCAAATGTTTTCTCTACATAAGGATACAGTGGTATTGCATTTAAAGCTTCCTCCAATAACTCTGTATTAGGTTAGTCCTGCAATAAATCTGATAACTAATAAGGGCATTCAGGTACTGATGGTTAGGAAATATATATAAATATATAAAAATAACTATAAAGATATATTTATATATAATAAATATACATATATTTATTATATATAATAAATATAATATACTCATATTATATAATTTATATAATTATTTATACTATATTCTAATATAACAAATGTATATATTTTATATTCATATAATAAATATAAATATATATAAATATATCTTTATATATAAATATATAAATATATATTGTTTATTTATACCACACCTCTCCACCCTCCCATCATATCCTTGTACATTACCTTCCTTTAACACTTATAGCTAGAGAGAAAATGAAATCAGGAATTTCTTTTCTTTTCTCAGCATTTATGACAGGCATGGCTTTTCAAAAGCAACTTTATTAAATATTAAGAGAGAAAAAACTACAAGTAAGAAGAGACATGGGAATCTAAAATCCGATCTAAGTGATCTAGGCTTGTGGAGGGATATGTCTAGAACGTAAGAGG